TGATCGAACAAGAAAGAACATTATCTTTTTCTTGACAAAATACAATGAAAAAGGAGACGTGATTTGCAAAACCATTAAATGATTAGTACACCTCAAGCTCATAACCAACTTAGGGTGCGAAGATGTTAGCTGCAAATTTCAGAGATGCTTCGTGATGGGCTGTCATATCTGTCTTATTCCGGTACTTCTTGGCTATTAGCATCTCGACGGTTGGAGGGAGTGTGACATAAAACTGAAGTGTGATTAGGCCTTCTCGATCCCTGTGTAGTTACGAGCGTGATGTGACTTTTATATGAGTGAGTTTGTGGAACGTAATAAAATGAATTTCAATATGTGTCCTATATTTCTTGTCCTGTACTCAATACTTCTTCATATGTGTCCTCAAGTGTTCCGATATATCGCAGTTCATATAAGTGCTTCGGTATTACTGATGCAGCATTCGATAGAACTGCCACAGTTATCACAAATGTTGCGATCGAATCAGCCAAAATCGCATCATGCTGTAATAATGATGCTATAATTCTTGTTTATTATTCTGACGAATGGCTAATCTTCACTGAATAAGTTCCATTCGAATTTTCAATAATTATTAATTTCAACTTCATATGCAGTTCCTGTATTAAGAAACTAATAGCGGATGCGCTTTTCAGTTGGATCATTTTCATTCCGCAAAACGAGTTATTTGATAAGATCAGAATTTGTAAAACGTTTTCAAGATTATATGCACAGACCGCTTAGCTTTAGCAGGATTTGTTTCAAAGTAGACTGAACGACTGGAGTTACGCTCGAACTGAATAGTGCATTATCAAACAATATATAATTAATTTATTGAACCTGGATATAAAGTATGATCGCAGCTACAAACAGCACCAAACATGTACCGTGGTTACCGATGGCATGTATTATTTGTTGCGCACGAACGCCAATAAATGTACTCATCTGAACAAATCGACGCGGTTGAAAAACTGAGTCTAGAATTTATAATAAATTACAGTTTTTCGTTACTACATTCTTTTTACATTTACATAAAGTTGCCTTGTTAGACAAAACATATAATTTCTATTATTTTTACTTAAGTGTAACAAGTTTTTATTGCTATAATTATCATTGCAAATCACCTATAGAAACGTTAACTTTGTTCTATTTATCGAACAATAATTATACATAGAATTATACCTCTCGTGAAATGTAGTATGAGCATAATACAGCTGGCAATCAATGAAAGGCTCGCTGAAAGAAGCATAAAAGTCTGGTTTATGGAATATTCCTTAACGTAAATCCTGTCCACTGCAGCAATCAGGAATGCTGTATTTGCTGCCAACAATACGCCCATGCATAGCAATACGATGATGCATTCTTCAAATTTCTTACTTTAGTGTCATTATTTCAATCACTATAATTCGTTGGTTTTGTAATTAAGTTTATCCTTATTATTTTTTTCAATCTAGCGAAAACGATCTATTATTTTGGTTTTCGTCATTCTTTCGCAAAACGTTCTGGGCATCTGGAAGAGCGCATGACTGTTATAACTGTACTCTTTCAATATTTTAACAAACCAATTCTACGAAACGCATTCGGACGGTTCCTATCAATCGAGTGTTCGCCCAAGTAATCAGAAATCATAAGAACAGTGGCAGTCAAGCATGCCACACTTTTGGCCAGGTAGCCAAATATAGCTTGAATAATAACGAGCATTAAAAAAAACCATACGGCACGCAATTTCCATAATTTCCTGAAATATATTTTCATAGAATTAACATCAGCGCTAAATCAACCATTAACTGCTAAAGTGTCTATCTTTTTATTAGATTATTACAGGTTCACTAGATTTAATTTCATTTGATCATTTCTGAGCGACTTAAAAACTGAAAATTCTCAAATGCAATATGTGACATGACACGTGATATAGCACTTAAGGATATTTGTAAAAAAGAATAACACGAATATTGACATATTTTCTGAAGGAGAATTATCTTCATTTGATGGCAGCGATTGGTATCCGGAACTGAGGTGACTAATATTAGTATCATGCAGTGGCTGACTATGAATAGTATTTGCTGAAGCTTGAGTGGTGAAGNCTGCTCCATTGTATGAACATTTACTTCATCTCATCGCAGTAACTCAAAACGAGAGCACACATTACAGTAACACATTAAACGGTTTCAAAATTCAATCAGGTCATACCCAATCTATACATAAAACATCGATATTCAACACAAAGAAGTCCTGAAAAGTAAAGCAGTTATTTAGTTCCATACAGAAGATTTATAATCGATTGCCATTGATGCAAGGTTACTTTCTAAATTGCGAAATGACTTTGCTACGAAAGACGATTGGTGTTTACGGAGTGTGTTATGAATAAAAGTATTTGACTTCATTGGTTGTTCGTTATCATATCACATCACTTGTTTGTTTCATTCTGTTTGTATTCCTATC